GTGTGTGTGTGTGTGTGTGTGTGTGTGTGTGTGTGTGTGTGTGTGTGAGAGAGAGAGATTGTCAAGTGGAGCGAAACTGACGGCACTTGACGAATAGCAGGAAAATTATCAATTAATGAAAGCATCTGGTTACCAAGCAACAGCTGAGACAGAGACAACTTTATTCATCAAGACCTTGATACGTCGCTGCCTCTGTCTCTGTGTGAATGTGTCCTCACCCTCAAATTATTTCTCTTATTGCCATCTTGCTCACGCTTTACACTTAGCTGCACTTTCAAACCCTGTAATTACTCACAATTGTGCCAATTTATTATTTTTGTGAGCAAACATCACTGAACCTTGTAATTACCGCAATCACGCATCAAATAAAACATGAAACATCATGTAATAATGTGCTAGTAGTGCTGCGGTAATCACTGTTAATGCATCTCTGATATTGAGCTGTATCATTTTAAAGTGTTTCACTTCCTGTTTTAATGTGGCTGTTTACAGTGTAAAAGTATAAACGCGTGTATACCCGTCCCCTCTCTGTCAGAGTTGTTAGCATGATGATGGTGTGTATCTGTTGCTCCCAAACAGTCTGCCAAAAGTGAGTGACGGTCTGTGGCAATGGACCCTGAGCCGCAACATAACGTAAACACACACCAGACACTGGGGGCACCATCTGCGAGACAGACAAATAAACACACACACACACACACACACACACACACACACACACACACACACACACACACACCACACACACAAACACACAAACACACAAACACACACACACACACACACACAGAGGATTACATTAAATGTCAGACAGGGAAGAGACACTTCATATAAGTGATGCGCACCGTGATGTGGCTGGCGTTGATGTAGTCCTCCGGGCCCTGGAGCACCACTCTGGTGGCATCATCTGAAAGGAGAGCAGGGCAGCAGTGTGTGAGGGTCACAAAAGAGCCTTAGAAGCACCACAGGCTCAACCAATTAAATTCCATGAGGTGCTACAGCGGTGAGCTTTCAGGTCATGGTTTGAAAGGTAGCACAGAGCTGCAGGTGGGTGGGTGGGAGGGGGAGAATAGCAGGGCACATACACACAGATAATAGGAATAGTCAGCACTTACAAGGTAAAACATCCTTGTATCGATTCTTGTCCATGTTGTCAGAGAGCCGAGCACAGTTTAGGGACAGACCAGGCTTCCTCCTGTATAAATTCTAGGAATTACAAGCATACAAACACATGCTCTGCACATAAACACACACAGAAACATACAGAAACAAAAACTGCAAATTCCAGGCCGGTGACGGCATCTTTGTTTTAGATTGTCGGGAGTCTGAGTGAAGGTTAGGGCCAGCATCTGTCCCCCAAACAGGCTCATTATGATCCAAAATAACTCTGTTTGTAAGACAGACTAAAGCATGCTTATAAAAAAGGTGTATTTATAAGTACCCTTTTTAAATACCCGGTCACTGTTTAGCTCCCACCTGCATTTTAAATACCTCAAAATGGAAACAGAATGTGCCGGACTGTATTCCTCTCTCCAGCTGTCTTATGGATTCCTCCAGTGTCGTGACCCGCTCCGACTGGCCAGGTGACAGCCTGTCTCCCTGTGATTGGCCGGTGAGCGTGAGGGCGGGAGGTAACTGCAGCAGGGGCGCCACCCGGCCAGGACCTGGAATGCAAGGACGGTTCAAGGCTGTGATAAATATTCATAGAAATAGGACAGACAGCGTGCACTCTTATATCACATGCTGCTTCAGCAGTTTTGTCTCTCTGTTACACACACACACACACACACACACACACACACACACACACACACACATGATCAGATTGTCATGTTCATACGAGCCAGCAGAGAGTCGCACTCCAGAGAGCTGGCCTTGCTCATCCGACGTAAAGGTGTGTGTGTGTGTGTGTGTGTGTGTGTGTGTGTGTGTGTGTGTGTG